AGACAAAAGACATTGCCTGCCCTCAAGGATCTTACAATCTAATGGGGGAAATAATATGCAGACAAATGTATACAAAGCAAGCTATATACGGGATAAATAGGAAATAATTAACAGAGAGAAGGCACTGGAATTAAGAGGGGTTGGGGAAGGCTGCCTCTAAAAGGTGGGATTTTAGTTGGGGGCTTAAGGGAAGCCAGGGAGGTCAGTGGTCAGAGCAGAGTAGGGAGGCTGTTCCAGGCATGGGCTACAGTCAGAGAAAATGTCAGGAGCTGAGAGATGAAGTGTCTTGTTCCACTTCCAGATGTGATATCTGCTCATTTAAACAACACTAAAACATGATCTTACTGTGCCCCACTTTTTTCCTCTTTTCTTAAAATGGAGTGGTTGTTGTTAGAGCCTAGAGTGGTTTAATAAATAAATCCATTAACCTGAGACTGTAGCTGATTTGAGGTCATAGGAGCTGGGTTCAAGACCTTGGGCAAATCACCTAATTTCACTGGGGTTCTAATTCCTCTTCAATAAAATGGGGTTGGACTAGACAGTCTCCTCCAGCTCTAGAATTATGACTTAATGTTGTACAAGAGAACACTTAGCCATCTACAAAAGCAAAGCCTGAATTAGCACTTTTCAGAGAGGACTTTTCAGATCTGAAAACTGCTGGGGTCAAAGAGAGTGAGGGAGACAAGGCAAATTTACTAATGGCTTTCCCCATTCAGCTATAGTCAGACAGTAGGGTGAAAAAACCCAGTGCCTATAAGTCTGGGAACCAGGGTTATAATCTCCACTCTGCCACTAACTAGTTAGCTTTCTTACTTTGGGCAAATCACACAATCACATTCTGAGCCTCAGTTTCCTCACACGTACAAAGAGGGCTCTAATGTATGGAAGGGATTCTCAGCTTTTTGTGGGACCTGGGGAAGAAGAGAAATGGAGGAAATGCCAGGCTGATGATCTTTTTCCAAAGTAAAGAAATCACTCTGTGTGAAAGGTCCACAGTGTAATTTGTGTGAAAAGTGTTTCACACATAGGTGAACCCGGCGTCCCCTGTTTGAATTCAATGAGGAGTTTGATTTCTTTTTCTGCCAAAGTATTTTCCAATTATTTAACTGTGCTATATGTGGGATAATCTAACAGACTGTCATGTGGGAGGTCCATTGGCTTCTTCCAAGTGACTTAAACTGCAGATTTCCTCAAAGGTTTCATCTTGATGAGGGAATCCAGGACAGTGAGAGAGAGAGGGGAGAGAGAGAAAGAGAGAGAGAGAACATGGGGGATTTGCTTTTGGTTTTCATTATGAGTGAATATTAAGTAATTCTGGAATACATTGATTTTCCTTTGACATAAAGAACTTTGAACAAAAGGTATTTCTTGTAGTTTCATTGGGATTCAGATAACAACCCAGTTGTTACTGTTATTCAGTTGTGCCCCCATTTAGGGTTTTGGGCAGAGATACTGGACTGGTTTGCATTTTCTTCTCCAGCTCATTCCTCATACAGATGAGGAAATCGAAACAAATAGGATTAAGTGACTTGCCCAGGGTCACACAACTAATATCTGAGACTGCATTGAATTCAGGTCCTCTTGACTCCAGGCCCAGCACTTTATCCACCATGCCACTTAGTTGCCCTAACAACCCAGAGTTGTCTCTGTTAAGATGCATCAAGGATTCCACCCAATAGTCATCCCAACACACCCATCTTAACTTACTGTTTCCTTCTTCTAGGTAATAACCTTCCTCTACCTATTCTTATTGTCTTCACTTTAGCCTCTCTCAACCCAATGTAGAACTATTTCTCCTTTTTAATCTTTAATTAAACATGAAGAGAGACCCTCTCTTTCTAGACAGTCCCTTAGTACTTTTTAGGATATAGCACTGAGTTGGCTGAAATGGAAGCTACCATTGGCTTAGAGTATCGCAGAGTACAGATGCACCTTGGAGAGGGCAACAGTTGTCTGTGTGTAGAGAGAGGATGAGAAAGGGCCCTCCAGAAGCCTGGCAGCAAGGGATCTTGCAGGTCTGCTTGAGATTCAAAGAGTCCATTTTCCAGAATATCTCAAGCACAGAGATCCTGAACTCTCGTGGTTACAGCTCTGGACTTGGGCTGGTTACTGGGCCAAATTTGGTATTATCAAGCAAGCGCTTTTCAGAATGATATTTGTCCAACTCAGGTAGACTCAGAATCGCAGTTTCATCTCTCTTGCCAAACAGGAACAAAATGGAAGAAAACCAGGTTAGCAACTGTGGTCTTGTAGTGTGACCGGCTGCTTCCTGGTTTGTCAAGGTGTTGAACAAATTCTAAGAACCCATATCTTTGAGGTTTCCCAATGGATCATTTAGTGGAATGAGCTATTGCAAGCAAACACAATAGTTCATGAAATGACTCCAAAAGTTCAACCAGATTAGGTTAAACCCATACTTTCCTTTTGCTGAAGGGGAAAAAAAACCCCAAAGCCAAACCAAAACCAACATATAGTATTTTATCTCGAATTCAGATCACTCACTTTTCTCCCTTATGGGCAGACTGATCTTGCTAAAAGTGATTTCCTTGGAGATAACATGCTACAGAGCATGAGATAAAGTGCTTTGGAGTCAGAATATGTGTTTAAATCCTACCTCTGACACTACCTGGGTAATTCACTTAACCTCCTTATATACAGGTAGAATTTTAGTTGAGACTTAACGGAAGCCTTTGACTTTGCCAGAATTCCCTTAATCTGCATATAAAGATATAGACAAGACTAGCCCAGGATCAGCTTTCCCATCTGAAAAATGGGGGAATTGGACTAGATGTCCTCTAAGATTCCTTCTAATTCTGGATCTGTGATCCTGTGACTTATAAAAAAACTAACCCAAAAGGCACATGAAACTAAGAAATAGGTTAAGGCAAAACCACATAGAAATAGCAAGAGAAAGCATGGAAAGTTGCCTGGCCTTGGAGTAATTGAGAACTGGTTTCTAGTCCCCAGTTCAGCCACTGAGAATGGTTTCATAACCTCAGCTTTCTCCTCTCTGGACCTCAGTTTCCCCTGCAGCAAAACAAACATCTTGCACACTATGGTTTCTTAGGTCTCTTTCAGCTCTAATGATAGATGATGGTGTCAAGTATGTAGAATCTAAAATTCAATTTCTATATTTAAAAACATATTTCAGTAACATAGAATGCTAATATTGATCTTTCTGAAAGAAAAGATTTAAAAGAAACAAATGATACCTCCCACCCCACCCCCAATTAAGCCCACTTTCAAGCACAGTTTCTACTCTGTTCTTCATTGATAGGAAAAGAAGCTACAGTTCCCCAACGTGAGTTTTTAACCCGCCTCTGTGATGTTGGTCTGTTCTCAAATATCATGAGCAGATGTGAAGATAATGAGCTTGTCTTGACAAGGAATTGTAGGAATCTTCCTGAACTTGCCTACCTCAATCTCTCCCTCTGTTGTGCCTCATAGGACTTTAGCCCTTTGGGTCATTTTGGCTTCTAGCATTTTAGGATTCTGTCATGCTTCAGTAGGCACTGGAGTTTGGGCTGGAACCTTCTGAGGGTTCCCTGAGTATAATGCCAGCGGTACTAGGTGCTCAATGAATTGGTTAACAAGAGAGTAGAGCAGTGTTATACCCTGCCCTCTACGTGGTATCCTCTCCTCTGTATCTTCTCCATTGATGAATTCTTCCCTTTGTCATGCTGAGGACCAGACCTTCCAAAGAGTTGCTGATTTTGCTTTGCATAGCAGCAAATACAGGGATAGCTCAGTGAATATTTGTGATTTCATTAGATCCCTGTGACCAAACATGATCCCAAGCTGCTTGTTGCCACAGAATCTCTTCTCTAACAGCAATATTCTCCTGGTGCTGCCTATGAATCTTGGAGTGCCATCCACCATCTCAGAGGACTCAAAATCGGAGGTAGCCCAAAGGGCAATGAAAAAGACAAATGACTTACTAGCTGTGTGACCCTGGGCAAGTCACTTAACCCCAATTGCCTCACCAAAAAAAGCAAAAACAATTGAAAAGACAAATGGCAGACATAAGTAGGCTGCTGCATGTGGTCAAATGATTGGGGAATCAAGGAGTATCAAAAACATTATTTAAGACTTGTATGATGAGTACCACAGAAATAACTTTGAGGTACTAAAAGAAACAGAGGAGGACCTCCAGTACTTTGGGTGTATCCTCTGTGGAGAATTTATATAAAGATATAGAGAAGAATAGCCCAGGATCAAGTGTGGAGGGTTTATGAGCCACACTGGTGGGGAGATCACATGCTATCGTTTAGAATCCCCAGACTAACACTCCCTTGTGACTAGTTCCTGGGACTCTTGGTTTTCGCTAAAAAGTGAGAGTAAAGAAGTGAAGTGTTGTAGTTGGCCAATGATTAGAAATAATAATTACTGGTGAGGAGTCCACATTTCATATTTCACTTGGGAACAGCCATGTAACATCTGCCCACCCAAAGCTTCAAGTTGGAGGAGGCATGGGGGATGGGGAGGTGAGTCTAGCTTCAAGAAGCAGAGAAGTATCTGAGAAAGAAGAAGTGATATTTTTAAGCCTGAGAGTGATGTTGTGAAAGGATTGCTGGCTTATGTGTGTGCATGTGTGTGGTCAAAGCCTCACCCAGCATACACTTGAAAGCAAAAATACTTGGCATAAGTGGAAGCTCTGCTATTCCTTTACCAATGTTTCTGAAGCCCCCAGTGGATCACATCTGAGAACTGTATCATACATACATTTCTCTCCTTGGCAGCAATTTCTTCTCAACATAGAGAGAAGAGAAAGGTAACGAATCTTTTGGCAAAGGCCATTCAAGTCCATATTAAAATGATCATATTAGCAGATTGCAGTAGGTTGCAAACAACTATGGGGTTTTTGAAAGGACTTCTGAAATAGATATATACATATACACAATAAACAATGTTTCCTATAAGAAATAGCTTCTTTCCATGATTCTAGAAGGAAGAAAAAGGTAGAATTTTTCAAGAGAAAATGAATCACTCTTAGACTAATGTCCAGCAAATAATAATAATATATATAATAGATTGCTTTATTTGGATCTAATTTCTAACTACAAAGATAGCTTACACGACTATCCAAGTTTTCACTTTAAAATGGCCATCTACAGAACATGTTTCATGCAACTCTTATGATGCTAAGTACTGGGTAAATAACTGGGAATAAACAGGTAAGGAATAATATAGCTTGCTAGCAGGTGTGGTAACTGCCCAGTATCTACAAACAGCCATATTCTATTCTCAGCTCTTCACAGTTATGTGCAAATGTTACAAATATGGCTTTTGGGTTCTCTATTTTTTTTTTAAGAAAAGTAAGACATAATTATACAGACAAATATGTGAAAAGGTGATTCTTTCTGCAAAAAAAGTTGTTCCATTTGATGACACTGCATTTAAGTAGTAATTTACAACCTCCACCTGAGGGTGTAATACAGGCATGTTCCATAAGGGGGCATCAATTCCTAAGGCACAATATTAAGGTTAAACATTTGTTAATTAAACCATGCTTTTTTTTTTTTTCTTTTTGGAATTATATGAAATAATAGGTCACTGCTAGTAATAATGTGGAATAAGCTGTTCATTGTACAAAATGCAGTAATAATAAAGGCTAAGCTAACCTATTAGGTGCTCCATTAACATGAACTAATTTGAAAATATCCTATACAGCGCTGCATATTAAAACATTGTTTTTTGGTAATATCTTTCTTTCATGAAGCAGAGAGTTATAAGGCTTCTGTGGAATAATAATCTTATAACTGAACAAATATTTTACACTCTTTTGTAATGGTATTTACACTTATTTTCATCTTTTGCCATTTGGTAAAGAACATGTTCTTGGTATGCATCTTTCCTGGCTTTCTAAAGTGCTTGTTTAACTGCATGAGGCAAGAAAAATGCATATCTGTTGGTGGGCTGATGGCCCCTTACAGACTTAGCTGAAAAGTCAGATTTGGACTCTGAAATGCATTTCTTAAAATGGATACTGATTATTGCTAAACTTGGTGCCCTTGCTGGGCTGAAGGCTGACAATCACCAACTCGATTATTTGTTATACATAAATATATGTCCTATAGATGTATGTACATGCAAATGCAAGATCTATCATGTAATAGATAGATAACAAATGTTTTGTCCGTCAATCTATTTTGTGCTATTTAACTGACTTGTGCTATGTTTGAAGCTAGATTAAAATAAAAAATCTTAGCATGCTATGATTAACAATCCTATGGTTTACTAGCACAGGAAAAAAAAAGGCTATGATAAAAGAGTTGAGATGACAAACTGGAAGGATTCTGAAATGCACTGAATAAGGCAAGAAATCATCAATTACAGCAGAGGAAAAGTTCGAAGTACATTCAGGAAACTTCGTAGTCTCTCCCCCCACCACCCCTCATGGGCAGTATTCTTTTGATTTAGAAAAGGATTAAGCATAACAATGAAATCTTTGATAGTTTTTACTCCTACAAATACTCATATGGTAGCAAATTCAAAGCCTACTAAGATGCTCTGATGCCATGATCTGGTAAAATAAGGCACTTCCAGTATCGAATTCCAGCCGTGCCAAAAAGATTAAGCCTGGGTCCAACCTATCATTCTGTTGTATCCCCATTTCCTCCCAAAAAAGGTGCCACCACACAGTTTTTTCCTCCACATGCATCCTCCCCCTTTTTTCTTGAGATGACTTTGTTTTTCTCCAGAATATTTTTTCCTGATGAAGTTAAAGAGCTACTTTTTTTTTTTTTTAACACATGACAGAAATCTTCAGCTCCCAGCCTTCAGTAAAGTCGGAAGATCCAAGTGGTACCAGGTAATGAATTCAGTTCATTCAGCTGACCTGCCAGCTGCAGAGAAACCATGTGGCTTCTGAACTAGTTCCAATATTGCAAAGCAAGCTATGCGTGGACATTGGTGCTGGAGAGGTCGTTTCTTATTATTTCATTTACTACAAGAGAAAAAAAAGGAGGAGAATTATTAAGATGAAGTGGTTAGCAACTAATATAGTTTGAAATGCCAAAGGAACACATCTCCCATAGTTTTGAAATATGCTTAGTGTGTGAAATGTATGTCACAGAGTTAATGAAAACAACACGTTTCTGACTTTTTAAAGCCCATTTACTCTGTTTAGCCAGAACATGCAAAACATTCAACTTGCTGGAGATTCAGCTCAGCAGATTAAAGTTAGAAATGGATACTTATCCTAGAACCGGAACCCTTAAGCTTATCTAGTTTTCCCAATCCTCCCTCACAACCCTCCACCCATCAATTCCCTTTGCCCCTGTAGAATATAAGTCTCTTTTCGGGGTTAAAGATGCTTTCAACTTTTGCCTTTCTATCCCCAGCACCTAACAGAGAGCCCAATCAGGAGTCTGTGTGTAATGTTTATGAAATTGAATAGTCCATAACTCAGTTATTAATTGGCCCTTTTGACAATGCAATGGCACGTACAAAGTAGAGGTGCCGGGTGTTAAACTTGATGCTTGGAAGATGAAATGCTACTTCTCCAGGACAGGAACACACATGTTGATTTTCCACTGTGTAATACAGAGGTTTCATAAAGCATGGTGGTGGCATGTGTGTGTGTGTGTGTGTGTGTGTGTTTCAAACTTTCAACTTCTTTGCTAGCTCTGTCAGCCCATTAATTATATTTATAAACAGAGACTCTCTCGTCTTCTTTACATGTCATATCACGTAGGCCAGGTGCGTTGTGCCCCTTTCCTTGTTCCTGAAGACTGAGGTTAGAAGGAGTAAAAGTGCCATCTTGTCAGCATTTGAAGAGAAAGAAAACATTCATCTCTTTCTCAGCATCAGGCAGCATGATGGTCACACTGCCACTAAGCGGCTTTCTTTACTCCCGCCTCTTCTTTCATTCTCTTATTTCCCTGTAGATTGTCAAGCTGCACAGTTTCCCACACTCAAATGATGTCCATTTATCAGCTTGTGATTTTTGGCAGATGGACAGGAAATGACCGAACCTGGCAAAGGCCAGCTCCAGTGAACTGCACAACATCCCCTCTCTCTCTTTCCACCCCACCTCCAGTTACCACCACAGTCAGGCGATTTGCTCTAAGATAGGGAAAATGCCATCATACCACTGTCATTGCTTCTCATTTTCCTAACATTATTTGGAGGTGGGGAGCCCTTGTGTACGTCATGGAACTGCCCAAATTTCCCTTTGCCCATGAGCCGGAGCGCACGGCCATCCAGATAAACCTCATGTGTTTTCTGCAGAGGCCCTGGGCTGTCTAAAGTCAACTTCCTGGAGCAATTAGTTGCTGAATACTTCATCACCACCACCCCCAATACTCCCTCCCTATCCCTTTCAACTCCCTGCCACTTGTAAAAGAATAACAATAATAATATGTGTACAGGAGGGTCAGGAGTTGTATCAAATGAGCCTGTGGCAGTTAACTGGCACCATTTTGTAATTCTGAATTCCTCCTAGAAATAGACCTGAACTCCACTGATTCATTTACAAGGTGATAAGAATCAATGAAGCCAACCTTCTTAGCTACTTGCCTACCCGAAATGCTTACTCTGAGCAAATTGTTGTTTTCAAGAATGTATTCGAGTAGCAATCTACTTTATTAAGAATAGCAGATCTCTGTTTCATAGACTAGGGATCTGAAACACATCAAGCCGGTGAACAGATCGAGACTTGCCGGTCACAATCCCTAGCCACCAGAGCTCCTCTTTATGAATCATTTATTCATTGATTTGTTCTTTCTCCCTAACTACCAGATCTATCCTAGGGACATCTTAGAGACCTGGTTACTTCCAGAAATACTAAAGGTGACAAAGAAATGCAGATAGAAATAGGTGAATGAAACCTCAGGTTCTCCAAGGATGGCATGAGGATAATTTCTTCAGAGTACAATCCACTAGAAAAGATTCAGGCCAGCAACCTTCATACTGGGCCACTTCTCATACTCTGATGAAAAGGCTAAAGAACTCACGGCTCAGTGTTCAACTTCAATGCACTCATGTGAAAGCAAAAATAAAAGCAATCCCCCTCACCTCCTCTTCTGTGCAGCACATATCTGCGTGTATTTACTTGAAAACTATCCCCTGCATAATCATTCTCTTAACTAACTAACCACTTCTGATTATGTTCACCAAATTCTTCTTTTAGTAGTCTGCTACATGATTCAGGAATGTAATAAACACCAAAAATACAATTTGAGATAATTTTTGAAATGTTACTTCATTTTCCTTCCTCTGTCTTGCTTCTATTTACATATAAATGTGTCCTGTTTATTTTTGATGAGTAATTTGTACCGCCAATTCTGGGGTTCAACTCCCAAATCCCTGGAGTTCACGTCTGGAGTATTTTCTCAGTGAACAAAAACTTTATCTGTTTGAGGCAGGGAGGTGAGGTGCAATAGAATATAACTAGGATTCCTGTGTATCAATACCAATGTATTTGCCGCACTTGGTAAAGGTCTATTCTTTATCAGCAGAAAAGCTAGGTCTTTGATGATGGGGAACAAAGTTAGTGAGAAAAGAAGAATTAGAACTACAGGTAGGGAAATTACCTTATAAATAAGCCTACATCTATGAAAGTGGTACGAACCCCAGGGAAATGCTATTAATTCATAAAGTGACTTTCAATTAAAATTCTTTAACAAAAATTTCACTTGTTTGGGATGGCTTCAGGATCCAAATCATCTGAAAGTGCCAGAACAAACTTTTTCCAATTCTTTCACTCTAGGAATCTGTGCCATCTTTCCCTTTCATGATTTAGCACAATTTAATTTCAAATTGAAACATTCTAGTAAGATCAGAGGTTGAAAGGAAGAGAGAGGCATGCTGGAGGTACATGACATGGGAGATGGAAGGAAAGCAGTTGGCAGATCAGATGCCAAAATTTTAGCTTTGTAAACTAACTAAGCAGTGATGTACGCACTGTGGGGAGTGGGGGAGTGGGAATAACATCTGCTTGAAAAGATGAAAGGGGAAGAACCATCAGAAGTGGGCTTCCCCTTGCGGCCCACTGATGCACCTGAAGCTAGAAGGGAATACCCTTAAGTGGGTGTAAGTGGGGAAAAATCATTCAGCATGTCACTGTGCAGTCTAGGTCCTCCCTGAATCAGGGACTGTGACATGCCGCAGTGTGGGATCCTCGAAGATTAGGGACTGAACCTGTTTTCTCACCATCCATCTCTGTCCAGTAGTATTCCCACCGAGAACCCTAGGAAGGCAAGGTTTCCTTGGAAGAAAGATGGCAGATGGTTTCCAAAGTCTTTTCAATACTGATGGAATGAGGTCAAAAGCCACTTCTGCCCAGAACTGCTTAACTCCTTACCATCACAATCTGGATTCAAAATTCCAGCCTGGATATGGCCAACCTGTTTGAGCAACAGTACCACAGAAGACCCACAAGATATGTTTGTCCTCGATTCTCTTTACCATTATTTCTAATTTACTTTATAGGATCAAGGGACACATCTGGAGCTGGCATCAGTCACTACAAACTGAGTGCCAAACACATTTGATGAGCATGGCCTCAGCAAGCCTCTGATCTTCTCCAGAACCATAAACCTTAATAAGTGCATGGTGACTGATTGATTGATGATGGAGTGATAAGCCTACTAATATCCTCAGAAGGAAAGTATGATCATGAACACCTTTCACAAATGGAATAAAGACAGAAATAGGAAACTGAGGGATGAGATCACTGCTAAACTAAGAGGAAAGCCCATGGTTCCCATAATCCTGAATGCTTGCTCTGGAAGCTGGTATGGATTAATTATCCTTCTGTTAGAGGACCGTTCGGCTTCCATGCATGTAATTGCCACTGGGTGTTCTTATTTAGTTTTGTTGTGTCTTCAGGGGGAGGGGGGGGAAAGAAGGGTAGTGGGTGGTGGGGGAGGAGGTGGTTTTCTCTTTTTTGATATGGTTGCTTTTGTAGTTGACACCTACAGTTTCCTACAATGCCTACTATCTACTGATACTTTCCATCTTATTATTCAGCCTTTCCACTGACACAAAATAAAAATACATAGTACTGAGAATTGCAGGTAACATGTGACCCTCTGTACCTGTCAGAAGCCTGAAAGAGGAACCTTTCCTTTGCTTGACATCAGATGCCACTGCAACAGGATGTGGTGAGCTGTTATACCACAATTTAATTTAATAAGGAGGATCTTTTTCCCTTATATTTAACTTTTCTCTAAAATACCCTTGCAATGGAAACTTTTTTTTTCTTTCTAAAAACTAAGGTCACTGTGTGTGGTGGTTTGAATTCCCACTTTAAACTGGGACATTACAGGCACACAGAGTCCATACACACATGTATGATTTCTAAACCTATGAGGATATGTACTTTATGAGGCATTTTGGTTATTTCTTTTAATAACTTGGGCAGGGGGGAAGCAGAATCCTGCCTTTCTTAATTTACCTCTCTTTGCTACATATTTGTACTTACCAGATGGATGTTTTTAAATGATTCTTTTTCTCCTTCACTATACATAGAGATCTTTCAGTCATGCAGAAAAATGTGCTGTCCAAACCTACCAACTAGTTGTTCATGAGCTAACCATCCCTCTCTCCTTCCACAGAATTTTTATTTTAAATTGACTGCTTTTCCTTCAAATTGATGGTCATTTTGAAAAGGTCCTGTCATAACCCTGTGTTTTAATGAAATATCCATAATTCACCCTGTGGATTTTTACTCTACTGACTTTTTCCTATCACTATACAGAAAGGGCAAGAAAAATCCAAAGGCAGCTTTAGAGTCCAATATTCATTAGAAATATTTCGCTGACTAATGTATTTCTCAGTGCTTACCTTTTCCACAAAGGCTCTCCTATTTCTCTAAATCCTTGGTTATGGAAAATGATTTAATGGTTCCCATTTTATTTATCCAACTAAGGTATGGCTGCATTATTTATTTATTAACATTTACAAAGCCCTTGATTGGAAATAATAATAGATGACATTTAT